AAGTATTGGATTTTAGATGTTCATTAATGGACTATAGATCAATTTTAGTTCCGTTTTACAACATTAATTTTGTAAAATTATATATAATATAAATATTTACTTTTCGATCTTTTCGATCTCATGATAATCAGCTAATTTATCAATATATTAAAGTGTACTTTTAATTCGAAATCTATAATGTATATATTATTAGGCGATTTTATACAAAATTTTGTTAATTTAAAAGACAATCATGCTGAATGATCAAGAATGAATTTGATAAGGTTTAAAAAAGCCAAATATGTGAAACAGAATGATAAAGACTTGTTTGATCACCAAATATCGGATTAATTAGTGTAATTATCCGATTTAAAATTGGCATGTTGTGTGCACTCAATTTTAATGAAATTCATTCTTTTCATTAAAGATTGAAATTCGTTATCAAGTTTAAATGTATACAGTAACATGAAAATTCTGAAAAATGGTTAATGAATACTATGAAACTTCGAAAGGGTACCATTTAAATAATTGCGTAAAATTTTGTAACAATTCATATTTATTTGCTTTTTATAACTTTACTTAATTTGAAGAAGAAACAAATGAGAAATATTTTTGTAATATTTGTTTCGACCGATTTTTTATTTTTGACTTGTGAAATGTAACATGGATACTGTAAGGTACCTATAGAATTTTGTCCTACTGCGACACGTTAATTCACGTAAACTCCAATAGTACAATTTCATATTATCGCGGTTTTTGAAATGGTTGAAAATTGCAAAAACACTCGAACATTCGAACACTCGATTAGCTTAGCACGTTGATTGAAGATCGATCCCGATTTTGTAATTGTTTAAATTGTTTATCAAACAATAGTTATGCAAGTTAGTCGTCTTCAATCAACGTGCTAAGGTAATCGAGTGTTTGAGTGTTCAAGTGTTCGTCAAAAAAAAAATTTATTTGCTATTTCAACCATTTCAAAAACCGCGATAATAATGATCGCGAATTCTCAAAATAAATGAATAAAGAGACATATTACATAATTTGAATCAGACGATAGTTAATTTATGAATCGTGAATTTATTTGAATAAATAGTATTGTACATTTTATTTTAACGGATAAGGTTCCTGCCTTTTGAGTCAATAATGAGCATAACTTTTACTAAATACATAAGTGACTTTTTTTAAAAAAAAACAAAAAACAAAAATCAATGAAAAATCATATTTGTTCTTCTTCCTTAGTAATTGAAGGACTTGGAGGTTTTAACAAAGCCATTACTAAAGATGACATCATTATTGGTGTAGAATGTTCTGACGTTCGAATAATTGAATATTGTTTTTCCCCCAGACGTGCATAACTGTGAACTACCAATGCAAAATAAATCTAGTAAAATTGCCAATGTGAATGATCGAAATTAATTGGTTTGTGAAATTTTGAATAATAGAATGATATACTATTTAAAATATACTCTTACATGTACAAATGTTGTAAAAGCCAGGATTAGGTTCGCTATGGTAGCTTCAGCTTCCCATGCTGGTAATTTAGTTGGTGACCCAGTGATTGACTGAGTATCATTTGAAAAACTCCCATTCTTTGTCAATATCTTTGTATGATCCGTTATTAAATACCAAAGTAATTCAAATGTTATTATAAAAAGGGAACTGACTGCCAGATCTGCCCAATATATATAAGAATAGTATCGTATAATTGTCGCATTTTCCTGTTTTAAGATTTTGATTTATTAAATTAATCAATCAAAATAATTAAGATTAAATTATATAATAAATTACCTTTAATATGCCGTAAAAAAGACAATATGCGAACACTATAATCATAATCATTGAATAAAGATAAGAAATATTTGATAATATATTTTCACAATAAATTATACTTGAAATTCCAAAAAATCCGGAAGACTTATTCAACTTTAAAGGGTAAATTTACAAGTTAATATTTATCACCTTATATAATAGTTTATTATAGATAATTTAATATTACCAAAGAGATTGCAGTAATTATAATTACACCTAAATTCATAAAATCGAGTCAGAAAGACAGTCAAAAATTTTAGGCGATCATTAAATTGAGCTTTACCATTTTGTAGATCAGAAATACCACAAAAGGTTTTTAAGAAAGGCATCGTAATAGTATCACTTGAATATGAGAAATATGTTAATTAAGTGATTTTTAAAATGCATTACATAATCAAAATACATAATTAAAATTCAAGACAACTTACAAATTTTCAAGATATAAAAACTATATTCAAATTTTAATTTAAATCTTTGAAGTCTTTGTCTTAGAAATTTTATTATTATTTTTTTATAACCTATTATAATATATGCTATTTAAAATTTTAATTAAAAGCACGGAAATAATAATAAATAATAATATAAATTCAAATCTTCTAAACCTGTATATAGGTTACGAAAATAGTAGGTAATAACAAAAAGTTGAAAGAACAAAAGCACGTTTCGTGTCGATTTTCGTCTAAACCGACACGATTTAATTATTCAGCTAGTGTAACATAATATATACGCCAATTCAAGATCGGCGTCCTGCACAAGATTAAGATTTGTTCGGAGAATTAGAAATAAAAAGTTAGGTGAAAAAGTGTTAAGAAAGATCAAAAATGTTACATTCATTCGTGATGGGGATTAAAGAAACTGACCTAAAACTCTGCGTTTGGGCTGTGAATCTGATAAATAAACAATTATATATTTTTCTATTGCCAAGGTCATATTATCGTTATTAAACAAATGAATAGTGATTTGAAGTGTACTACGTTACTCAACCTATTACGAGAAGGTTCGAAATTTTATTATCTAAATAAAGCAACTATGCTAAACGTTTGTATATTGTTGCCAAGATTCTGGGCTTTCACTTGGCAAATACCATAAAAGTGGGCCAGATTTTGTTCGACTGGATTTATGAACTGAAACATTGGACTTATAAAGTGAAACAAATTCAATGTCCAATTCCATATTTTTTGTACGTATCAATATTTGAAGGTAATATCGATATTGTCGGATTAAATGTAAAGATTTACATCCGTCATTTTTGTTCTTTCAAATACGATAAATATATGATATTAATATTCTTACGTAGCGGTAGTATTTTTCAAGTATAATAGACATGATTTTATGATTTTACGTAGTATTCTTGGCGTTAGTATTTACGCACGTAAAATAGAAAGAAAATATGGAACTACGAAGTTGCTTTATATAGTGTAAATATATGTATGTACAAATAACAGAATATAGCAAAAGACAATAACGATAGAGAAACTCGATTACACCAAGAAATTTATTAGGAAACAAATAGAAAAGCTGGCTACGTACGTACGTACGTATTTTGTATGCAGTAAACATGTAACAACCACTCACCATACCTTATCGTTATAGTATCACTAAAATTTTTAATTTAGTTATTATATTCCGTCCACACGGGTTTCTCCTCCATTCCGTGCCAAATTTTGTATTACCTCTACCGCTACGGCAATCAGAACAACTTCTATTGTAAATCTCTGTGCTACAATAGAAATGTGGCTGATGCTGAAATTGGCTGATGCTGAAATACGATAATTTTTAAAAAATTTTTGGGGGTCTTGGCTTTTTTTTTTTGAGGAGCCAAGATTTAGGGTTAGTGTGAGTAACACCAATTCGGTAACTTACCCGAAAGTTAAAGGACAAAGCACGTCCCTGTTTACTATTAGGGATTGCATCGATCCTGTAATACCCAATAAAAAATAGTTTGATTAGATGTAACGTAGATCGGGTGTAGACATGATGTACACTACGGGAAAATAACTTTGTAGATCTCCGGGCCCTTCGGTTCCTTATATAGCCGGAAGGCCCCTTATATATCCGGAAGGCCCTTCATATAACCGGAAAGCTACTGAAAATTATCGTTATTGACTATTGACTAGTAAATACTATGATAACCGGTCTAAAGACCGAAACAAACATAGAATGAAATATCATGAGCACAAATATATACTATATATAGTTTCTTAATGTTAGTTATATAACCAATAGCTGCATATCCATTTTTTTAACTCGGAGTTTCTTTCATAGAATTAGAATGTTTTATTGAAGGAAATTCTATATAAAAAAATGGACACATTTGGAAAAGTGATGGTATTTAGAAGTAATTATGTACTGTAAATAAAAAAAAAAACTTCTGTTTTAATAGATCAAATTATATAATATTATTATAAAAAATTATAAATGAACAAATGAACGAATGAGTTAACTAATGAGCGAATGAATGAATGAGCATCTAGTTTTATGATCTTACAATCTGGGATTACAGGAATTAAATTCAGCTAATCAATAAAATCTAAGAAAAAAAATAATAACGCAAATTTTAATACTTTAAAGTTTGTATGATCCCTAATCTAGGACTGGACTCGCTTGTCATGCCAGATATGCTGAACTGCAAGGGTCTAGTCGATTTCCCTATATGCGTCAGACTAGTTCTAGACTTAATACGTACATATGTGCGTACGTACGTACGTACGTACTATCACTATCTATCTGCTATTATAATACTATTACGTGCGTGTGTGCGTATCATCGGAGAAAGTACGCATGTTGTATTTTCACATGCACAGCCGTAATGCAGTGTTGTACCTATGCATAACAATAAATTAACATTCTTAGAAACGATCACCATGACCGGTAGTTTTTAATATAACGTCTTTTTTTTCCTATTTTTTTTTTTTACTTGTTTTTTTCTCTATTTTCTTTTACTCGGTAAACATGTCTCAATCGGATCTAACTCGGTTTTTTGAATCTTTTAACGATCAAAATACTGAAATTCAACAGCAGTCATCAGCTAGTGGTGATGCTGTGATCAATAGCGATTCACAAACAAAAAAATCACCTTTATGCAAAGCAAAAGATCAAAACTCGAATGCCGGTGGTCCGATTCGTAACACTCGGAAAAAGGACCAAATTTCACCAATCACTCAACGTCTTAGAAAAGCCGCAACCTTTCAAGACTCTTGGAAATCAAAGTTTCCTTGGTTAAGAATAGAAGAGCGTGTTCCTCCTAATGGCGACTCATCAGGAACTCGACAGATTGTCATGTTTTGTAGTATTTGCGAAAAAATTAAAATCAAAACAACGCTCTGGTCTACAACCGGGTGTACGATGTATAAAGCTGATTATCTTAGACGACACGAAGTCTCAAAAGAACATGCCATGTCGAAAGAGGCTGCTTTAGAACCATTATCACCTGAAAAAACTGAAACACCTGAAAAAACTGAAAAAATTGAGAAACCTGAAAAAACTGAAAAAACTACTATTAATTCTTCTTGTGATAATTTATCCAAAGGAAATATTATATCTCAATTAAGAAACACTTTCTTTCTTTCTCAACATAAATTTACTCTTAATGTTATTAAAGATCTTACGGACTTTATTACTTTTCAATCTCAAAATCAAATTGATACTAATAATATCACCAATAAAGAACTTGCAATTCTTCGCCCTCCCAAGCTACCTTCTAAAAATAAAATTTCTTTCAGAGATCTTTCTATACCTCATAATCACGTTACACATTCAAGTAGATCTATTAATCACGAATTTCTTGAGATTAATTCAAAAATAATCGAAAAAGCTGTTGTCAATGAAATAAATAAATCTTTATGTTGGAGTCTTTTGGTCGATGAAAGTGATTCGAATTCCTCAACATCTGAGAAAACTTTGACTCTAGCTTCTAAACATGTTGTGGATGATTTACCGGTGTTACGATTTTTGGGTCTATTAAAAATTTCAAACACTTCTCCTGAGTCTCTCTTGGCTGCAATTGATAATTTTATCTCGCAAAAAGCTTTAAACACTTCAACTTTATTACATTTTGGTAGCGTTGGTTCTTCTAATATTTCTGGTATGTTAATATATATCTTAATCCATCTTTAAATATATGAAATTTTTTCCTACTTGTTTTTATTATTTTAATTTTACAATATTCTTTATTATACTTGTATTTTTTCAGGGGTGCATTATGGACTTTTCACTTTGCTCAAACAAAGAAATCCTTTTATATCTTCCAATCATTGTGTTATACATCGTGTTCACATGGCTATAGATGATGCGACAAAAGATATTCCATATTTTCAAACGTACAAAGACTTAGTCAAGGGAATTTACACCTATTTCTCTGATTCTTACAGAAAAATGTATGATTTAAGAGATATTGAAGAGGAAATAGACAATCCTGATTTATTTATATTGAACAAAAAAGAGACAAGTTGGCTTTCTTGGGCACAAGTCATCCACAACTTTCATATGATTATTGATGATGTTTATACTGAGTTAGAATCTCAATCGGGTGTTTCTAATATGGCAAAATTTTTATATGATTCAATTGATACTGAATTTTATGTAGTCACAAAGTTCTTAGCTGATATTATGGAGATTATAATGTCAATGATTAACGTATTTCAAAGTGATTACGTCTCATTAAGTGAAACTAGGAAACAATTGAATATGGTCATTGAAACAATCACCACCAATTTTATTGGTACTGAATTTTCGACTCCTAATTATGGTACATACCTCTTGATGTACATGAATGAAAATTCTTTATCTAATTATGATTTACCAGGTAATTTTTTTCAATTTTTCGTATTTTAACGTTTAACAGATTCTTCAAGTTTAGTACTTAACGTTTAATTTTATAATTTTATGATTCTTTTTATATTCACCTTTTTAATTCAAGGAATCGTTGTCCAATTTTCATTAAACATTATTCAAAGTTTACGAAATCATTTCCCAACTTCACATCTATATCATGCTATGCGAATTCTTGATCCTTCCGAATCTCCCGATGATCAAGAGTCTTTAAGAACATATGGTGACTCTGACATAAAATTTCTTGCTGACTTCTATGGAGTCTCTAAACCAATCACTCTTAACAATACATACCATCCTCCGATTATTGATAATAAAGGTGTGATAAGAGAGTGGCAAATGGCAAAATATTTAATTCATGGTTATCGAAATTTTTCGTTTATGGAGGCTTGGAAAAAAATTTGGGTCCAAAATTTTCAGTTTAGAAATCAATTTCCTCAATTGACAAAATTGGTGGAGATTGCACTTACCATGCCAATTTCTAATGGTACAGTAGAACGTGTATTTTCTCGTCATCATTTGATAAGAAATGAATTGAATACTGAAATTCTTAGTTATTATTTACATTTAACCCTTAATGCTCCTGAATCATGGGAGTGTTTTGATTATGAAAAAGCTTATGAGCATTGGATTGAGCTTTCTAAAGCTAATTAATAATATGAATAATATGGCAATGTGTTTTTTTTCTAAGTGCAATTTTGTAAGAGTAATTATGATTCTTTTTTTTTTTTTTCTAAAATTAGAGTTTCCCTATATATGTCAATTTTTAGATTCACAAGCCTTAAATAAAAAAGAAAAAAAAAAACCTATATTTAAAAATTCAACTTTTAGCATTAGACAAATTCATAATCATCAATTTTATATAACTGGACATTGAACCCGACACTTCGGATTGCTGAAAATTCTTAAAGTACGTTTGTAAATTCGCCCATGGAGTGCTTTTTGTTGTTTTTTATTAAAAGCGTCTCCCAGATCGCGTTACGTTACACTAAAATCGTGATTCGTTATTGGCCAAAAATCACATGACAGATTAATTTTCTGCGGTGATAAATCATTCAAATTCTGTGCATTAAAATTTTATGAATTCCGTCATAACAGAACTTCAAATATCCTGCAACCGAATTATTGCTTATTCTTCGAATTATTTCAAGATCAATAATTTTAAAGCGACCGCGATCTAGTGTTCCAAGTGATTAAATTTTTACGTTAAGCTGCAGTCGGCAGTAGAATTAATTTGACAAATCAATACAGTTACGGTATGTGCATGTTATTTGCCGTAATTTCTTTGAGCCGTAATGCTGTAATGTTATAATGCATTACGGCATTACGGCTGTTATGTCGAAATACCGTAAAGCTGTTGTATCTAATATTAATTTTCAACGCATTTCTAGCCAATTAGTGATTATTTCAAGATATCTTTATTTCCTTAAACACTAATCAAGATCATAATATGGTATATAGCTGTTAACAAATTTTCAGTACATATGCACATATATTATCATCTAACCTAAACCATAAATAAAATCTTTATTCTAGAAACAACAAATCTTTGAAGACTTTCTGGTTTTAAATATTCAGTTGAGTTATATTCCGGTCAACAAACTTTTGTCTCAATTTTTTTTTTTTTTTGTATTGGCTATCAAAACTATATAATTATTAAAGTAAATAAAATGTACTTAGAATCTACTTAAATAGATTCTAAATTAGCAATATTTCGTGTAAATTACCCCATATTTCGCGCGAAATAAATCTCCAATTAGTAATCTGCGAATTTATCAAATGTAAAAATTTTCAGTAAAATGATCATCTCACCATTTCGTGTGAAGCGATATGCGATGCTAGGTTTATCTCGCGCGAGGCACATCTCTACACACATTATAATATTACTGTTATGGTATCTGGTATCGCAACATTACGGCATTACGACATTGCGGCATTACGGCTAGTGATGCAGTAGAATCGTCCCAATGATTGTCGTAATTTGCCGACTTGCCGTAATTATAATAAATATATATTATAGTATATATACTACGTATAATGCCGTAACTTATTAATATTACTTACCTGTTACTATAGTTACAGTAAGTTACAACAAGCTCGACAATCATTGGGACGATTCTACTGCATCACTAATTACGGCATTGCAGCATTACGACATTGCGGCATTTAGATATAATATTTACGGCAATTACCGTCTAGCACTGCATAAAGTATTACACATAAAGTACCCCCTTCTCCACCAACGAAATCGTTGTATTCATGAATAGTACCTGGTACGTACGTACGTACTATTCAATTTTAAAATGGGGTACTGTATGCAGTGTTATACTATGCCGTAATTAGTTCTACCACACGGTAAAAGCCGTAATTCGGTAATTCTATCGCCAACTATTACTATACTCCAAGCCGTTAAATTTTCAATAACTAGCAGCTTAGCCGAAGATATCACGAGACTCTGCAATGGCAATATTACTAGCTTATTTACCCGTGGCTTCACTACGAGAACTATACAAAATCTTGCAATATTTTTATGCATCATCTAACAGAATTTATTTTATTTGTAATAACGCTATTTCATACTATAAAATCCTATGATCCAATGTATAAGACCTTATAGATTTTCGTTGGCATCACGGATATTAAATTCGCTACAAAATAGCAAAAAATTCTCATTTAAAATTTGTTGAAAGTTAATATCTAGATTATTCTTTATAGATAATTTAATGAGTGAGTATAATATAAAATACCATGGTGTACTGATCAAAAGACCTGGGTCTAATACTCACCAAAAATCTTACAAAATACCCGTGGGTGTCTTTAGCGTCGGGTATTTTGCATGGGGTATTTTATACGGGTATATATATATGTGACGCTGAAATCATTATGTGGCAATATGAAAAATGCCATGCAAAATGGCCGGGTATTATCCTCAGTTAAAAAATATATACAGTATATACCTTATAAAATACAGTCTTCCCTCTTTATAATCACGCTTTTGGGCATAGCAAATATCATGATTAAATAGAGATGTATTATAAATAATTTATGCTATCCCTTAATTGGTAGAGATTTGCAAGCAAATTTGCCTGCATAATTACTATAAATATGTTTCTAATCTATTTTTTTAATTATTTAAAATATTTAAATAAAATTTTTTTTTTTTTTTTTTGATGATCATGCCACATGCCCTGCTTTTATTGATCATATACAACAATCCAAAGGATTTTTATATTACATCTTATTACTAGAATGTGACTTACCTGGTTATCTATATAGAGTACCTAAGTACTCATGCACCTGTGTGTGACCTGCCAAAGATGATTTTAATCTCCTTGGTTTGGTTCAACCTACATCAAGCTGACCTGCCCCGGTTCACCGACCTGGTTTATCAGCCTATCATGATCGCCTTTCCCAACCTTCTTCTTCTAGCCTCCTAGATAGAAGAATTCTACCGCAAGAACAACAGGGAATTTAAGAAAATAAAAGGAAATAC